TGGCTGAATCCAATGTTGAAAAATAGCTGACAATAGGTGAAAGGACAAAGCTGGAAAATTGAGACGCAAAGAGCTGCAGTCTATTGGTTTATTAAAGACAGTTCTACAGAATTTGCATAGCTTAGACTATACCAATATTTATGGGCAAATAGACAGTATTGGGAAACAAAATATCGAAATGCCAGCTGTGGACCTAAGAAAATAGCTAAATTGAGCTGGAAAATAGCTGAGCTGACACAACACTGATGGCATCTATAAAGGGGCAAGTGTGCGACAGTGAGAGTAAGACCGAGTGAGAGCAAGTGAGAAAGCCATAGCGAGAGAGCTGCATTCGTGTCATGCGATGCTAACCTTATTCAATGCTTATTGTTGTTATCGCTGCTAATGTTGTTATTGTTGCCATTGCAATTGTTGTTGCTGTTGTTGCTAAGGCCTCGCAATGTCGTGGTGCTACCGTTAAGTTGTAAATGTGGATGTTAAGAGCACTGTTAAATCCATTGTGCGAAATTAAAGTTAACGATGGGTGTCAAATGAAATTTGCAGCTATAAAAAGCCACAAAAGTTGCAAAAGAACAAATTTGATATTATCTAAGAATCAAAAGAAACGGAAATTAATGAGCTGTACACCAAAAATATTCGAAAGTTGTAGCTATATTTTGCCTTAAGCTGGGGCCAACTATAACAAGATGAACTAAAATGAAACCTGCAAAATTTTAGAAGGTAATGCTTGCATTGAGGTACAAAATTGATCAGTTAGAATTTAGATACTACAACTGCGAGGAATACCAAATTATATTTTATGGTTCTATATCTCTCGGTTCATTAAGATAGTCCCAAATATATCACTCAGCTTTCATTGGCGCATCCATATCATTTTCAGTTTCTTCTTTTCAACAGAACTGAGAGATATTTGCTTAAACACATACAATGCCATCATCCAAACAGCTTTCGGCTCCCGCTTTTATTTCGAATTCAATGAAATTTTTATTATTCTGTTTATATATTACAATATTAACGCAGTTCTTCTGTCGCACTCGCTGCACTTTAGTTGGCACTCGACGTAATCAAGGCATCTTTTTCGGCTTTCTCAAGGTACCGGTTTTTTAAAAATGATTTCTTTATTTTTTTGACAATCACAAATTGAAATCAAGGGGGACCGTGACTGATGTAAAATACAACGCTTTAACTTGATTTACATTTACTTATTTTGTTTTAATTGAATATTTTGACGTGGGCTTGAAAAAGTACAAAACTGAGTATGTACCAGTTAGCCTGATCCCATTAGTAATGGGTATTTAGCTATATTTTGGGCTCTTTTGGCTGCTCGGGCTTAAGCATTTATTTTGATTATGTTTTCAGATTTAATTACGGTGAGTGCACTCTGTCTGCACCCTTTTAACGTATCCAATTGGCATCTTTTCCGTTTCCTATTTACCCACCTTGACGCTCAGTGGTTAACACTCGGCTTAATTGCTTCACTGCCATTAAAAAAGTGTTCACTGTGCGACTGTTTTGGCCAATTAAAATGGACCTAGGACAAATCCGAGAGAAAAACAACAACAACAACAACCACAATACAAACGCGATACAGATCCAACAAAAAATCGCTTCGATTCCGCCAACAAAGCGAACGAAATTGTAAACGCGAACCAGTTTTAAATGCAAATTTACATAATGCGCTCCAAATGGACAACAGGTAAATATAAATCTCCAGACGGGTCAACAACATAAACAACAACAACAAAAACCGACAGCAATGACAATGACAATTGTATGCGAAAACTGCGGAAAAAGGCCAAAGTAGCCAAAATAAAAAAGAAAAACATTTTGGAGTGCTCTAGCCGGGAGGTCGCAACTAGCAGATACCCTGAGCCCAGCTTCTCACTACGATATAAACGTTATATGCACTTCTGCTTCATTCTTGACAACTTCGGTATTTACAGTCCGATCTGGTCGGACCAGAGTTGAGCATACAAAGCGCTGTTAAAAACGTAACGTGAAGTATACAGTATTCTTTATGTGTATAAACATTTCTAGAAAATGCACTCTAAGTTTGGTGTACCTTTTCGAGTTATGTTCAAAAAAGCTAGATTGAAAGGCTAGATAGATACAGCTCATTGTACTGATCTCTTTCATCGGTACATAACTCTTCCGCTTGTTACATAGATTTGCACAAAATTATAATAGCCTTACTGCCCAGCTTAAATATGTTTAGGGTATAAGTAAAAAACGAAGCTTATATCTAAACAAGTCGAACCAAAGGCGAGACATGCAAATTGAAGTTCATGGAAAATCAATTGCATGAAAGTTGCCCCAGACCAAATGAAGGGGAACTAGAGCTCCAAGTGGAGCTGAGGCTGCAGCCTAGACTGGCGTTTGAATATGAGTCTTAGACTGAGCCGGAGCCTGACTCTGAGCCTGTGCCTGTATTCAATTTATGGTATTGAACTTTGCTTTATGCAAATTGAAATTTACAGTTAAGAGTTGATCTTTTTTTGGTAATTTCAACTGTTTTGTGATCTTTCATAATTTGTTGTTGTTATAGTTAGTTGTCAGCCAGAAAACGAAAGGCAGCACCAAGAGTCTTCCTTTTACACTTGCCAGCTGGCTGTGTATGTGTCTCTTTTATGTTGCATAGTGTAGTATATCAATGGCAAACACTTGAGATGAAACGTTTTGTTTAACTGCCACGCTTGCGCTTAAGTGTTTGAAGTGCACTCTTGCTTTATTTGCCCGCGCAAAGATGTCTCGAAAGTTTGCCCAAACAGCCAGCTCCATCTAGCTACAGCCATTTCGTATTTGCCACGAAAAACGTATCATTAAAAAACATAATTATACCATATATATAGGTCTGTGGCTAATGCAGTTGTTTTCTAGCTGCGAAAATTAGATCAGCAATAATTCGATTTAGCAATATGCCAATGCCTGCCCCTCGGCCCCCGGCCACTCGACCCAACCGTTTGTTAGTCAACTTTTGGCGCTTTGTTCGACTATAATTGCCAATGGGTGCACTCATATGTGCACTCACACTCACGTTCGTGCCCTGCTCAGCTTCTATTCAATAAGCACCCACCAACATAACAAAAAAACCAAAAAAAATGCCAACAAAAGGGCATGATGCCGCAGTTTGTGCTTTTTTTTGCATGCCTCGAAACAAAAATAAAAAACAGGCCAAGAGGGGCTTGTAACCACAAATTAGTTTGAACACCATAAAAAGCTGGCTACAAAACTGCAACAACGGGGCTTGCAAAATTTCTGAAAATGAAAATCCATTGCAATCAAAAAAAAAAAAAATCCAGGCCGTCCGAACGTTGGATGGAAAATCGGCGGGCGATGAGCGCCTTGTGTAGATTTTTCATGGCTGATAGTAAAAGTGACGCATCATATGGGAAGCTCAATTGTTGTTGTTGTTGTTTTGAGTCAATGCCACACAAGTACACACACTCACACACACGCGCGGCATGTTTATAAGTCATTTTGCAATATGCAAAACGTGCTTCTGTCCCACTGCGACAATCTCTTTAAAAGGGTCGTGTGTTTGAGTGCGCTTCAATTGTATCTCATGGATGCGAGCATCTCGAGATATTGTGCTCAATAAGCCACAGAACAATCGAATCAATGCTCGAACAACATTAGCATAGATGAAGCCATCATAACTGAATTTCAAAGATGTTCGAATTTAGCCGCTTTTTTCCATTTTGGGCACATTGACGGGTATCAACTATTTCAGCAACAGCAAAAGTTTCATTAAATAACTTAACAAATATCATTTAGACTTCGTTTTATTTATATTTGCGCATCGCAACCGCAAACGGGGTTCAACAGAGTTTGAGTTAATGAAAAACGCGATTTATTTGTGGTTTACACAGCAATTTCGTATTTTGGTTTTGATTTTTTCTCACAACTGAGCAGTTGGCACGTTTATTGTTCGCTTTTGAGATCAATACGTGGCTAATTTTTGTTTTATGATAAAGGAAGTGCCCGTAATTATAACAAATTGCCTACAAATTAGCTTAAATGGGCGATAATGAAATGCAATTTGGCATGCTGGGCTTTGGAAATATATTGATTTTTATATATATTTGTAAAAATATACTATTAAAAATATTCACAGAAATTCGATCTCTAATCAGGGTGTGCTGCAAGCAAACGGAGGATCAGCAAAAGTTTCTATGAATATAAAAATTACGACATTTTTTGACAAATAAAAAACTTTTTATCGGTTAAATTTTCATACTTTATGATTGCTTAAAATTAAGGTAGGGCATTTACTGTGCTTGTAGCAATTGTTGTTATTTGTCAATTTTAGCATGATTTTTCACAGAAAACCCTTACAGTTTTCAATAATAAGCTTTAATTTTGATTGGCCCACAGAATAATTTTCCAAATAATTGTGTAAATATAAATTTAAAAAAGGACAATTTATTTTTGTTTAGCTCAATTAGGAAATATTGTTTTGAGATTTACGACTATCTTTCAGATAGTGTTATAGCCAAAAACTGTTTAATTTTAAGTGCTGTCTGAAGAAAGCGTAAAAGGTCGTTAACCTGGTCTGTGGAAGATATAGGAATAAACACTTTGGTGTGCTATTTCGAATTCTACTTAGCTAATCCATAAAAATTTCTATAATTTTGTAAGCCCCAGATATAAGCCCAATGCGCCACATACCACCCATCAAACATTTCACAGGCAGAAATGAGGCTTAAATTATTGGCCTGGCATTTAACATGACAGCCACATTAAATTGTCCACTTTGGCAACCTGTGCCGGCACCATATACGAGTGTATGCGAGTACATATAGTTAATATAGGTATATAGCCAAGTTGGCTGCCGGCGTTGCTATAATTGAGGTTTGGCGGCGTTTGCCATGGCGCTGACATGGCCCGGCCCGGCGTGTCTCGGGCATGGCCTGGGGGGTAGAGTAGTATTTGGGCGCGCAGCCGACAACGGCAAGTCAAGAGTTAAAAGATTTTAATTGTCACTTTCGTTGCTTTTTCAGTTACCGGGCGAAATTTCAAAAATTTTAATTCAAATTTAATGCGTTCAAATGAGTTGGGGCATTGTGCAAGAGGCCCCCACCAACAGACTCTGGACCGCCGCCAGCTGCAAGAGTGCGAATAGCATAACTTGTGTACTCGTATTATTTTATTTTTTATAGAGGTGTTTGTTGCCGATGTTGCAAGTGCGGCTCGTAAGTCAATCAGTTTGAATCCCATTTAAAAGCACTTACAAAGCGTTTCAATCCGCTTTTTAATGCAATACCAGCCAAATACAAAACGAATCAGAACTGAGCCTTAATTAGGAGCAGCTTGAACCTGTTCCGCGTCAAGCTCGGCCTTGAGCCAGTTAATCGTTTGCATTAAGAAGATGCCGTCTGCTTGCCAATCTGTTGGCCATCAAGTGTTGAGCAATGGCAAACATATCTGTGGATTAGCCGCTTGCCTGGAGATCTTGTTGGCTATCAGTCAGTTGCTTTTTCGACTTCGACCGGTTGTAATTATGAGCAACGATTACTGGTTATTAAAGTCGTATACAAATTTAATTGATTTGTTAATTAGTCAAGTGTTAAATAAACGATTTGCTCAGCTTTTGCTGTCTCCTGATCCAGTTTCGTGTGCAGACAGGAGATTTACTATTCCCATTTAAATCGGTTCTCATTTGTACAACATGTATTTTCGGGGTGTGATACAGTCAGGCTGCAATATAACATATAAGTAATGCGTAGACTTCATAATTGCAACGAGCTTGATTGATAAAAACTGGCAAGACTGCTCTTGTTTTGAGTAACCGACTAGGAGTTTCCCCGGGTCCAGCGACAAGTAGCTCCTGTGGCGCAAAATTTGTCTTATCTGGCAGACAAAAGTGCGTATATACCATAGGGAAAATTATACTTACCAACTGAGTTTGCTGAAAGAACCCTAAACCACAAGAAAAACTCTTTCTTATAGATATTATTTATTATTTTTTTTCAAAAATTGTATTAAGTCTGCAAAATTAGGATGCATTACAACACAAATTCAATTAAGTTTCTATATAATTCACCATCTAAATAATTATTTGAAATTACCAACAAAAAATTGTTTTTTGTTATTTTAAATATTTAAATTATTGACAAAAAGTCTTCTATAACTAATTTTGAAAGCACATAGCCTTAAAGTATGCAAAATGTATAGTACTCTGAAGTAAAGTATACAGTTCAGCTTGACTAGAAACCGGAAAACGGCTGCGAATATTAAGAGTGACTGGAAAGTAAATTATTGTTAAAACCAGTTATAACTGCACTGAAATAAATCTTACTGCGGTGGCTAATTTTTTATAATATAATAATGGGAATTAGAAAGCGAGAACAAATCGCCGAGCCAAAAAGCTACTGCATACCTTCAAGGGCATCTATTTTGGGGTACAAATTGCAGGCGCACTGAAAAAAAAGGTTCAACGAAAGTTAAACAATTTACTTTCGGCGGTTGCGATTGTAGTCAAAGCATATACTATACGTATGTAAATTAACACACTGGGACAGCATGAAGTGGTGCTGGGGGCATCTGAAATTTCTTGAAAATTGAAAAATCTTCACAGTAACACATCAAATTTTAATGTAACTTTCGAATTTATGTCGAGATAATGTCGTTTTTAACGGGATGTCGCTTCAAACGGACATAATCTCGCCATTATCATTATAACGGCGGAGTTATGTCGTTTTGAAACGACACATCTCTCGCTTTTAGCGCGAGGGAGCAATCTCGGCCAAATAATGTCCAATTTTGTTTTTTTATACCATTTTCGACTCCTAACGATCAGTACTATCGATTGGCATCAAAAATATTACAATCTAAATTTTGCCCCAAATCGACCAAAAAGCAAGGGGTTACATCACGTTTTTTGTCAAAATCGGGGTCGGCTCGAAAATCAAAACTTTCTTGATTCTTTTTTTTAATATCTCGGGTAAATATTGTCTGATTTTGGAATGTTATACCTTTTTACATTCGTACGGATCTTCACTATCACATTCTATCGCATTCAAAGAAATCCAAAATCGATGGCTTAAAAAAAGTTGTTGACCGAAAAACGATTCGTTTGTAAAGTCAACCTTTTTTGATGATTTTTTTGTATATCTCGGCCAAATAATGTCCGATTTTATTATTTTAAACCATTTTCGACTCGTAACAATCAGAACTATCGATTGGCATAAAAAAATATTGATATCTAAATTTTGACCCAAATCGACCAAAAAGCAAGGGGTTACAACTCGCTTTTTGTCAAAATCGGGGTCGGTTGGAAAATCAAAATTTTTGGATGCTTTTTTTTTTAACCGACCCCGTAAATTAGAATTTACCTGAAATATTAACTCCCCGCGGAGATATGGCGTTTTAAAACGACATAACTCCCCGCGGAGATATGACGTTTTAAAACGACATAACTCCCCGCGGAGATATGACGTTTTAAAACGACATAACTCCCCACGCAGGTATGACCTCCGCGCGGGGATATGACGTTTTAAAACGACATAACTCCCCACGCAGATATGACCTCCGCGCGGAGATATGACGGTTAAAAACGACATAGCTCCCCGCGGAGATATGACGTTTTAAAACGACATATGTAGCTCCCCGCGGAGATATGACGTTTTAAAACGACAAAACTCCCCGCGGAGATATGACGTTTTAAAACGACATATGTAGCTCCCCGCGGAGATATGACGTTTTAAAACGACATAACTCCCCGCGGGGATATCGTAACAATCAGAACTATCGATTGGCATGAAAAATATTGATATCTAAATTTTGACCCAAATCGACCAAAATGCAAGGGGTTACAACTCGTTTTTTGTCAAAATCGGGGTCGGTTGGAAAATCAAAATTTGCTGATGCTTTTTTTTTTTACCCGACCCCGTAAATTAGAATTTACCCGAAATATTAACTCCCCGCGGAGATATGGCGTTTTAAAACGACATAACTCCCCGCGGAGATATGACCTCCGCGCGGAGATATGACGTTTTAAAACGACATAACTCCCCGCGCAGATATGATCTTCCAAATCATCACGTTTTTTTTCAAAAGCGGGGTCGGTTCGAAAATCAAAACTTTTTTGATTCTTTTTTTAATATCTCGGGTAAATATCGTCTGATTTTGGAATGTTATACCTTTTCACATTCGAACGGATCTCTACTATCAAATGGCATTTAAAGAAATCCAAAACCGATGGCTTAAAAGAGTTGTTGACCAAAACACGATTCGTTTGTAAAGTCAACTTTTTTCGAAGATTTTTTTGTATATCTCTGCCAAATATTGTCCGATTTTGTTATTTTATATCATTTTCGACTCGTAACAATCAGAACTATCGATTGGCATAAAAAATATTGATATCTTAATTTTGACCCAAATCGACCACAATGCAAGGGGTTACAACTCGTTTTTGTCAAAATCGGGGTCGGTTGGAAAATCAAATTTTTGAATGCTGTTTTTTTTTAACCGACCCCGTAAATTAGAATTTACCCGAAATATTAGCTCCCCGCGGAGATATGGCGTTTTAAAACGACATAACTCCCCGCGGAGATATGACGTTTTAAAACGACATAACTCCCCGCGGAGATATGACGTTTTAAAACGACATAACTCCCCACGCAGATATGACCTCCGCGCGGAGATATGACGTTTTAAAACGACATAACTCCCCGCGCAGATATGATCTTCCAAATCATCACGATTTTTGTCAAAATCGGGGACGGTTGGAAAGTCAAAACTTTTTGATCCTTTTTTTTTTTAACCGACCCCGTTAATTAGAATTTACCCGAAATATTAAAAAAAAAAGCATCAAAAAAGGTTTGATTTTCGAACCGACTTGGATTTTGAAAAAAATCGTGATGATTTGGAAGGTAATATCTCCGCGCGGAGATATGACGTTTTAAAACGACATAACTCCCCGCGGGGATATAGTAACAATCAGAACTATCGATTGGCATAAAAAATATTGATATCTAAATTTTGACCCAAATCGACCAAAATGCAAGGGGTTACAACTCGTTTTTTGTCAAAATCGGGGTCGGTTGGAAAATCAAAATTTTTTAATGCTTTTTTTTTAACCGACCCCGTAATTTAGAATTTACCCGAAATATTAACTCCCCGCGGAGATATGGCGTTTTAAAACGACATAACTCCCCGCGGAGATATGACCTCCGCGCGGAGATATGACGTTTTAAAACGACATAACTCCCCGCGCAGATATGATCTTCCAAATCATCACGTTTTTTTTCAAAATCGGGGTCGGTTCGAAAATCAAAACTTTTTTGATTCTTTTTTTAATATCTCGGGTAAATATCGTCTGATTTTGGAATGTTATACCTTTTCACATTCGAACGGATCTCTACTATCAAATGGCATTTAAAGAAATCCAAAACCGATGGCTTAAAAGAGTTGTTGACCAAAACACGATTCGTTTGTAAAGTCAACTTTTTTCGAAGATTTTTTTGTATATCTCTGCCAAATATTGTCCGATTTTGTTATTTTATACCATTTTCGACTCGTAACAATCAGAACTATCGATTGGCATAAAAAATATTGATATCTAAATTTGACCCAAATCGACCAAAATGCAAGGGGTTACAACTGGTTTTTTGTCAAAATCGGGGTCGGTTGGAAAATCAAAAATTTTTGATGCTTTTTTTTTTAACCGACCCCGTAAATTAGAATTTACGCGAAATATTAACTCCCCGCGGAGATATGGCGTTTTAAAACGTCATATCTCCGCGGGGAGTTATGTCGTTTTAAAACGTCATATCTCCGCGGGGAGCTATGTCGTTTTAAAACGTCATATCTCCGCGGGGAGTTAAGTCGTTTTAAAACTTTACAAACGGAGATATGACCTCTGCGGGGAGATATGACGTTTTAAAACGACATAACTCCACGCGCTGATATGATCTTCCAAATCATCACGATTTTCTTCAAAATCGGGGACGGTTGGAAAATCAAAACTTTTTGATGCTTTTTTTTAACCGACCCCGTAAATCAGAATGTACCCGAAATATTAACTCCCCGCGGAGATATGGCGTTTTAAAACGACATAACTTCCCGCGGAGATATGACGTTTTCAAACGACATAGCTCCCCGCGGAGATATGACGTTTTAAAACGACATAACTCCCCCCCAAAATCGATGGCTTAAAAAAGTTGTTGACCAAAAAACGATTCGTTTGTAAAGTCAACCTTTTTTGATGATTTTTTTGTATATCTCGACCAAATAATGTCCGATTTTGTTATTTTATACCATTTTCGACTCGTAACAATCAGAACTATCAATTGGCATAACAAATATTGATATCTAAATTTTGACCCAAATCGACTAAAAAGCAAGGGGTTACATCACGATTTTTGTGAAAATCGGGGTCGGCTCGAAAATCAAAACTTTTCTGATTTTTTTTTTTTAATATCTCGGGTAAATATCATCTGATGTTGGAATGTTATACCTTTTCACATTCGAACGGATCTCTACTATCAAAAGGCATTCAAAGAAATCCAAAATCGATGGCTCAGAGAAAGTTGTTGACCAAAAAACGATTCTTTTGTAAAGTCAACCTTTTTTGATGATTTTTTTTGAATATCTCGGCCAAA